TTATATATATATATATATATATATATATATATATATATATATATATATATATATATATATATATATATATATATATACACATGTATATATATATATATATAGTGTAAACTGTTAGGAGTATATGTCTTTGGATCACGTAGCATATAGACATAGCACTAGAGATCAGTGTTGTTGTTTACCCTTAAAATTGGATAACAATTGAATTTGTATGTGGTTTTAAGGATAGGTGATATAACTTGGTACAAATTAAGAAGACAGATTAATATTGAAATTAACGATAAGAAAATAAATGCAAACCACAAAATTGAACAGTCTTAGCTTCTGACTTTGATCACCCTCGAGCCAAGAAATGTCTCAACTAGTGCTAGAGCTGAACAACAAGATGATAAGAACTAGAAATGATGAGTATATTGCTTTCTTTTTCGTGTTATAATGTGTCCTACAAATGATCAGAACCCCCCTTTATATAGTAGGGGTATTCTACTCTTGGTATAATTCTATACAAGGTAAAAAAACTCACAATTTGCTAATTAATCGGCCTCTTCTTGCTACGTGCTGAGATTTCCGCCGTGATCCTCGACCGATTGTGGATATTTCGGCTTTCCGGTATTTAGCTCGACAAGTTTTCCTCGATCTTGCTCGGTCTCTTGGTCACGAGCTCGGCGATCTAATTTTGCGCCTTGTTTCGATATAACCCGAGCTCGAGCTTTGATCTGCCGTGTTTCAGCCTCGATTGGTCAAACAATGGACGAACCCGGTTTCGATCGTATACATCTGTCATTCAATCTTTGTATTAAGCCATATTCACAAGTCGTACTCCCTCTGTTTCAATTTAAGTGATGCAGTTTGACTTACCACAAAATTTAAAGTAAAAAAGAAGACTTTTGAAATATGCGGTCCTAAAAGTTTAAGGGACAAAAGCTTTCTGGGGCCATGTCATTTGTGTGGCTATAAAAACATCTTACTAAGAGTAAAATAGGTAAAATAAAAAGCTTAAAATTAAATTATTTTCAAATATAAAAATGCGTCATTCTTTTTGAAACAAACTAATAAAAGAAAATATGTCATTTAAATTGAACGGAGAGAATAATATTTTGAGAAGGAAAGTTTTTTAAAAAAAAAATTGCAGGTTTGAACTACTCCCTCCGTTCCAGTTTATGTGAACCTATTTCCTTTTTGGTCCGTTCCAAAAAATGACCCCTTTCTAAATTTAGAAACAATTTAGTTTAAACTTACAATTCTACCCTTAATGAGAAGCTTTTATAACCACACAAATATTCTAGGCCCCTTTTTAACTTGTTTAGGACTATAAATTCCAAAAATCTTTATTTTTTCTTAAATTTCGCGTCCAGTAAAATAGATTTACATAAATTGACGGAGGGAGTATAGAACATCATAGGTACCAGGTAGCCATAGCTGACCACTACACCGATAGTTTCCCCTCTATGATGTACTCCATGAATCCAAACCCCTTTTCTTAATCAGGGGTAGAAAGGTGAAAAGATAATGAGAAGGAGAGTAGGGTTCCTTTTTTAATATTTTGTTTATAGTGATGTCCAAGTTAACTTGTAAGCACTCCAATTAATTTGGCATATTTGTCTTCAAACAATATACTTATCACTTATCAGGTAATTTTGTCTGTCAGAACTTAATCACATCTAAAAAAGTTTTTTTTTTTTTTTTTTTTTTAAAATGAATACAAGCCGGTAATTATCTGCATGGATAGTCATGTAGAAGTCCCTTAATTAAATAACCTATTTTGTTATGTTGTACCGTATGATCCCAATACATACACAAAAATAAGTTTCTTGCGGTGGCAAGCATCAAATTATTATGGCAACTGAAAGCTTGGTAGATTTAGCTCAAATATGAATAAAATAAAATAAAACATATAAAAGAAATCATTTGTTCACTTGTATACTTATTTCTTGACTAACATACATCAGATAAACCATATGAAGGATTCAATAAAGGCTCTATGCCTCTATTTCTTGTATGGAATATAACAATATTTTAAGGGCATTTAGGCTTCCCCTTAGAGTTCTTCTTGTCCCTGTAGCAAGGGCACTCGTCTTTGTTCCCATAAGTCCCAGAAGGAACACATTGGCACTCCTCACAACATATCCCACAATACTTCAAACATCTGTCCTGTCGTCCTGCCTTTGAACACCTAATCTTGCACTTTGAATCACAGAAATCTTCAAAAAAATAACATCTCATTATTAGACCATCAAACCAAAAATAATTACTACATCCCTTCTAATTTGTGAGGCAAAGTTCTGAATAAGCACGAAGTTAAAAAAAAAAAAAATCTTTTGAAACGTATATGTTATATAACATTTGTGATAACTTCTGAAATATGTGGTTTTAACCATTTTATAATATTTATGTGACTATATAAGCTTCTTATTAAGGGTAAAACTAAAAAATTTGAGATAAATTATTTAATTTTCAAATTTAAGAATCTTTCTCTTCGAAAGAAATTCAAAAGAAAACGTGCCACTGAAACTGAAATAGAGAAAAGCAATAAAATTTGAATGCATAAAAGGTAACTAGAAATTAATAGAGTATTATACCTGAACCAGCCACAGTTATTTGAATGAAGGAAGAAGTAAGAACAAGTGTCACCACAAGCAGAGTTGCAAAACAAAGCTTCATCTTTCGGAATGAGTCAGACAATTAAGGATTATATTATATCTAAAGTGAAAGAAGTGAATAAACTTTTAAGTTTGAGAGAATGATAGCTCTATATATAGGGGGAGGTTGGTAAGAAAGAAAATGATATCTAACAATGTGTGAACAATAGAATCCAGGTTGTCAGGTGGTTTTGCGTAGACATAGAGTTAAGGAATAAGGATATATACCTCGGATCAAAATGTGTGTAATATTCTCTTCACCTAAAATATAAATTCATTCATTTAATTCGGTGCTTTTTCCTTATAATGGTTATTCAAAATATGATCAAAGTAATTATTATTTAACAACTTAACAAAAAATTAATTTATTTTTCACATTTGCCCTTAGTAATTAATGTAGATAGATTAATATAGTAAAAGCAAAAGTAGTAATAAACTAAAATCAAAAAATAAATAAGGATAATTTAATTAATATTTTTCTTAAAGCATGCAAAACCCAAACTTGACAACTAAGAAGGACCAATGGAGTATTTCTCAATTATCGGTGTAATTCTTTTTCTTAAATCAAACACTTAAATATTTTTTTTCTTTTTAAATGGATAACACTGAGATCCGAATTCAGAATAAAATTAAAATGTGCAACCATATTTCTAAAAGTGTATGACATTAGGAAGAGACATTTTCATACATAAATTCTTACTCCAAAAACATTATGGAACGGATACCAGACAAATTGAATTCATTTATTTTTTACAATAAAAAATACATTTATTTTTTACAATAAAAAATAATGAATTCAGATTAAAAATATTTACATGGTAATTTTTTTTACCAATCAACGTAGTTTATTTGGCCGTTGCAAGAGAGTTATAATCTTTTCTCGATCACTTATTAATGCATTACACTTCTATTCTAAACTAATTCAGATTAGTTATACGAATTCTCTCCAAATCAATAATTAAATTAGATTGATTATAAAAGTTAAAACTTATAAAAGTGAGCAATTTCTGCGAACATATAAGCCATGTCTCCTTTGCCTTTAATTTCATACTTGGAAAATTTGAAAGCTTGACGCAAAGTTTTTAAGATCTTTAAGTTTCATACGAAATAAATGCAACATTTAGCTAAGATACCATCAAACAAACTTATGAAGTTGATTGGAGCACTTGTTAAATTGAAGTTACATCTTTTCACAAATGAATCCCACAGAAAATAAGCAAGAACAAGAATTTCAAAAAACTATATTTTTATTAAATATTAGGTTTTCGTAAAGACAAAAATGTTAATTTTATTTCATGATCTCTTACCCATGGTTGTAACCATTTCAAATTTTCTTGATAAGAATGGTTCCTTAACTTTTTATTCATCCCAATTATTATGTTCATTTCAAAAGAAAAAATGGAAGGGATGTACCTACCACGCATTAATATCAATGTATCGACCCTACATTGCTTAGACCATTCTAGAAGGCAGCACCTAACATACAATAAACATATTGGAATATTTTTCACTCTATCTTAAATTCCTTTTTCTAAATACATGCATGGAATTTATTATGAGTACACTTTATCACTAAATCTGTTGTAACAGTTACATAAAGAATCTCACATGGATAGGAAGTAGTACTAATGAGACAATGAATTAACCCAAATAGCCGTCCACCTAATCTCGTAAACTAAAAATAGCCGATGGATATATAATATATATATAATTCATGTATAATATAAGTATAATTGTATATAATCAATGTATAATCTATATATATACTTGCTAGAAAAAGTAAACATTGAATCTGGTAGGCTATTTGTGTAACTATCCTATCTAAAAATTTGTTAGAGGTTGAACTCTAATCACTAAGAAGAAATTTGTTTCCTAAACTTTTGGCAAAATTTGGTGGTGTCAAAACAAGCCTAGTGATTACCAATTAAGAGTTAAGACCTTGATATACATAAAAAGAGTCGGTCAAACTTGCTTAATCACACTTTTGTTTTTTTCTTCTTTTGTTCAAGCCCAGTGCTTCACTCCCTCTCTAACTAATCACTAATAGTCGCTCTGTTTTAATTTACGTGAATTTATTTAATCGGGCACGGAGTTTAAAAAAGAGAGAAGACTTTTAAACTTGTGATGTAAAACGAGGCACATATATTTTGTGTGGTTATAAATCATTACATAAAGGTAAATTATTTTCAAATATAGAAAGGGATCATTCTTTTAGGAACAAACTAAAAAGAAAATAGGTTTACAAAAATTGAAACAGCATGTAGTAAGTTTGAAACCTCTCGGTTGATAGGAATAGGTAACGTACCCACATCTTGAAACCTAAATGTTAACGAAATCAACCTACCAATCCCATATGGTTTTAATTTGCCAGTTTCAAAATAAAAAAATGAAAAATGATAAAAAATACGAATTTCACAATCCTAATTCTTTTCTTATAACGATGATGTCCTAACTAGGTTGTATGCGCCTGAATTAACTTTACCGAATATTTATTATCAGTACAAGTATCACAATAATTATGTCCATGATGATAGGTTATAATTGCGTATTTTAGTCGCTTATTACACTCTAATGTACTGCATTTTAATTGAGTTTGAGCTTTAATCGCGAGTGTTTGCACTAATTGTGTATTTTATACCTTGCAAGAGTAATTCCGAGCTATGTAGATATTATGGAATGAATTCAAGTGATTTGGAGCTTTGAAGTCTGAGTAAGCCCAAGGAATTAAGCCGGGATCGGTTCGGGTATCAACGGATGAGAGTTAAGAACGAAATGAAGAATCGAGCGGGCATACGGTGCATTGTCTAGTAAAATGCACATAACTTTTTGCTCAGAACTCTGTTTGGGCTCCAAAATATATTGTTGGAAAGCTATTTAAAAGAGCTACAACTTTCATGTTTTAAGTTATTCCGAATTCCCACTACCGCGGTGCGTGGAGCGGCGCGAGGCTCGCCGCGCCTGTGGACAATTCCTGCAGCCTGTCAGAATCAATTCTCTGAACATCCCCACAAGCATACCGCGTGGCGCGTCGCCCCATGCATCGCGCCTGTGCAAATTTTATAGAGCCAGAGTCCTATTTCGCGCAGGAAAAGGTGTTTCGTCTGGGCCCGACCCTATTTGGTATAAATACATGTAAAAACGCTATTTTGAGGAGGGGGACATACTTTTGACATAATTTAGACCTAAGGAGGCTAAGGAGACGAGATTCGACCTAAGGAGGCAAGAACACATTAGGAGCAAGGCGGAGAATTCTTCTACGAGTTTTTCACTTCCTTCTTCCTGTTTTCATTATTGGTTATGAATTCTAGTATTTTAGTTATGCATATTATTATGAATAGCTAATTTGTTATCTAGGGTTTCGATGGAACCTATTGGAGGATGATTTTCTTGTTACGTTAATATAGATTTGCCGTAGTATTTCCTCTATTTGTTCAACTATATTGTGGTTGTTGTTGATTGAAAGGCCTTAATCGACTGTGCCTATTTAGTATGTATTACTCGGGAGAGAGTGCATATTTAGGTAGTAATTGAACAACATCACTCCTTACGTATATGAGGGATCAATACGGAGGGCTTAAAGGTGGGATTAGGGATAACGAAACCTTGGGTGCGATCCGAGTGAGCCTTATTTAATGCCAGCTAGCGTAATTTGGGAGAATATGATTAGTAAATTGTGGTAATTACTCGGGAGAGAGTTACGACAGTCAGAGCACTCATGATCGGTGGAGAATACTTAGGCGAATTTATAGAAAACGTAGCGGGAAGGATTCCGACAATAGGGAAAATCATAACTCTAGACCTCCTTAATCTTGTCTCTAATCCTTAGTATCTTTAGTTGTTAATTTACTATTTTAATTTATTAATTAATTAGTTAAACACAAGAATCTTAATATCTATAAGTTTGGAATTGTTCAAGCTTGTCTTCTTGGTGATAGTGAACAGTTGTAGCTAAACCTTAGTTCTCTGTATGATTCGACTCCGGACTTGTAAACCGGATTATATTTGCAGCGACCCCTTAGTCCTTTTTATAAGGCATAGTTGGGCGTGATCAAATTTTGGCGCCGTTGCCGGGGAACTAACGATGTAGCTGTAGGTGTACATATTTCTAGGTTGCAAGTTTGAACTTTTATTTTTGTTTTCTTGTATTTGATTTTTTTTAATTTTATTTTTGATCTGAGGACATGGCATCTTGGAATTATGAGAGTTTTGATGTTGGTAATTCTACTTTTGATCCCCCTTATGCATATTGTGGAGGAAACCACCCAGGGCAAAATTGTCAAAATATTCCCGAGAGCGAGCTTTGTGCACCAACTCAATCTTATGTGTGGAATGTGTGTGATATGTGTGGTGGTCAAGATGGTCACTTTCATGGTTGTGCATATATTTCTTATCTTCCCCCAGCCCATTTACTATGATGGTTCTACTTTTTCTTGTGAGGATAATAGGAACAAAGAACCTAGGGAAGCTGACCTAAAGGAGATCAAAGATATATTAAAGTGTCATGTGGAATAATATGATGAGAAACCACAGCAGATACAAAGGCAAAGGCAACTATTCACAACTTGGAGGCTCAAGCGAATAAATTAATTGAACCTTATAAAGTAGGGGTGTGCATTCGATTTATCGATTCGATTTTGACCCTTATCGATAATTATTTATCGGTTATCGATTTGTACATATGCTTATCATTATCGTTTCAATAAGGTTTCGACTTTTTCGATTTCGATTTATCGATTTTGGGGGCTTATCAATTCGGTTATCGATTACACCAATAAGAAAATTTGCGGGATTCCACGAAAAGTAGATCGCTATAAACGCGCCTAACTAATATGGACAAAAAGAAGATAAAATAAGACGAACACCATTTATAATATAAAAATTGTGTCAACAAGCACATGCAACAAAACTAAAGTAAGGGATCAAATGTATGCCACCAACACTTCAACGGTATAAAAAAACAAAACAAAACACATCATCACGGCTAATTCTGTTTTTCATTAATTTGAACTTCATTCCCTTGGTCTTTAAATATGATCATTCCTTAAATGTGGTGGAGGAAATATAGGGTAAGGGACTTAGGATAAAGGAAAGGGTATAG